CCACCCCAGCCTCGAGTTGCCTCCCGGGGCCGCTCCAGCTCCGGCCTGCAGCTCCAGGTACATTCGGGAAAGTCCACAGCCGAGTCAGGCGACTTCGCAAATGGTGCCCCGCGGGCCCGCGTTGTGAAATCCCAGTAATTGGAACCGGCACCCTCCCCCGCACGGCCCCGCCTAGGTCAGAGAAGCCACTGTGCTCTGAGGTCAGGTGAAACAGGGGGCAATGGTGACCCTGCCCCTGTCTTCTGCTGCCCCTGAGCTGACCCGTGGTGGCTGCGGGCCAGAGCGGCCGGAGGAGAGGCCCCGCCAGGTGGAGGCTGGCTGCTGAGCTCTCTCTCTGCAGACCCCTTCCCACAGACCCCTGCCGGGCCAGGGGCCGTGTGGGTGCTCCTCACCCTCCTCCTGGCCCGAGCCCACCGCGTGTTCACGTCACAGCACAGCCCGCAGCACCGGGCGCCGACTGCAAATGTCACCGCGCGCGATTCGCCTCCGGTGCTGGGGCCGAGGCTGTGTGGCGCATACTCTTCGCCACGTCCGGCTGGGCGCGGGTCCAGAGGCAGAGCCTGGGGGCGGAAGCAGGTGACGAGCCCCCGGCCTGAGAGCCCTCGGAGCCCCCGCGGCCCCCGCGGCCGGGGTGGAAAAACCTAAAGACGTGTCTCACCTCCCCACAGGCCGAGGAAGCCTGGCGTAGGGCTCTGGCCCGGAAACTCGGGTCCAGATCGGGAGCGGGGACCCGCAGGGATTAGGACCCTCCCTGTCATGGTCCCCGAACGACCGCGGGGATGGGGTCGTCAAGCTGGGACGCAGGCTCGGCCCACAGCCTTGGGACAGAGCCGCATCTCTCCGAGCAGGGGTGGCTCGCCGTTGCCGGCCGTGCTGGCTCTGGGACTGCGGTTGGTTTCATGTCACCTCCTCACCTGCCCACAGCCCTATTCCTTTGGTGGGAGGCACAGTCAGTCCCCCGCCACGGCCCGGTTCATGCACACAGGTGGCCTCAGAACCATCTCACTAAGTGAAAGGAGCCAGAAAAGACACATATTGCGTGATTCCATTCAGAATGTGCGA